TTGCATGTTTGTAGGAAATCCTCAAATGGAAAATTAGACTATGAAGGCAGTTCTGGTGCCTAACAAGAGTGCAAGACTGCAACAGACATTGAACACGAATCCCCATTCAAGGTCTGAGACCTAGGGAAGATCTCAAGGCTGGCATGGGTCAAGAACAAATCTGTGGTGGAGATATTAGAAAATGTTCTGGGGATCCTAATTTTCTTAAGCCAGATACTTTACTTGAAGACAGGTTGTCATCCATTCCAAGGGTGATTGACTTGAATGTTTCTCCAGTGCCCTATCTGAATGAAGAGTTTACGCCTCCTGTTGAGTCATTTAGAAACAACTGGAATAGTTCTAAACCGTGAAAGGACCAGTTGTTGACCCCCAGTTGAAGCTTGCCCGAAGAGTACACATAACACCAAATTGGAGATGCGAGATATTGGTGGCAATAAGAGCAATGCATCACCATATGGCTGGAAGATTGGGTGAGAATTCTGAATACCGTCTTAAAATCACTAGTTGGCTGGAGTGCGAGGGCCATATTAAGAAGGAATTCAAAAAGAAGTTTCTAACGTGGTTCAGCTGGATATCAACTGAGAAAGAAAGAGGACTCATTTATACAGATTCTAACGGAAGATCAATTGGTTGATTCTTTTTTCTGAAATCATCAGTGTCCAGTTAGATGAATGACTTGATTTTTAGGCATTCGCTGGTCCAATTTAGGACATGGCTTAGCTTTTCTTCCTAGTGAATTAGTCCTGAAAAATCCCCTAATTGGTTTTGATAAAAAATTGGTTTTTAGTAGATTTTGATAAAAATAGATGAAATGTAAGGTTGGAAAGTTTATAAAAGTTGTGGATCTCACGAAATTTATGGTTGAAAATGAGTTTGGACAAAATGAGTTTTGAGAAATGGGGGACCAAACATGGGCTTATATTTTTCCAAATTGGGATTTTTTTTCCTTTGCAAATTCAGAATTAATGCAGTTTGTTACTGAATCCCCGGTCATTTTTATGTTTCAGTAATGATATTTACAGTGTGATATGTTATGCTCTCTCTAGGAAATTATATTTTCAAAACTTTTCATTATAACAATTACACAAAAAAATGACGGCTGGAAATAGGAAACGAGACCAGGTCGCCGATGACCTAGGTCGTGCTGTGTAGCCAGTGAGTAGCTAATAGATTGGGGTATATTTGATGGTAGTCTTGGTAATAAGGGTCACGATTAAGGAAGATACACGTGACAAGTTTGTTAATTATCTTATTCAATTGTAGCATATATATTTATACGGACTACTTTTTAACGGCAGCTCGAACTAGAATACCATCCATTTTGCATATTAACACATCATACTGCTCGATCACTAAAAGCGATGTAGTTATAGTTACTAAATGACAGTTTGTTATGAGTTAAGGTGGAACGGTGTTTCAGTAATAAAATAATGGAGAAGAAGTTGCTTCTGGGCCT